CCTATCTTCATACTTGCTGCCTGGACACACTGCCCGATTTCCAGTTCCTGGAATCCAGTCTCCTTATGCTCAGTGCCGAGGTCTTGTTCCCCTGAGTCTGGATTTCTGTTCCTTCCTACTTTGCTGTACTCAGCTTTTCCACATGAACTTAGAATACTTGCATTCCCTTGTCAATATGAACTTTGTGTTGTTTTTCAGATGATCAACATCAGGATCCTTGATCTAACAGATCTTCTGGCATTTTCTGGCTGCTCTGTCTTGTTTTTCTACCCCTTCTCCCCAACCCAAGTTGGACAGTGATGCTCAGTGTTTAACTTCACTGCCATCTGCAAACCAAGCTTGGGGTTTGCGATGGAAATGCTCTTTCTACTCCCACCATAAATGAGGAGAGGATTTTATTACTAACATTTTTTAAGGGTTTCCCGGGCAAGGTGATTTTTAAAAATCAACTTTTATTCATTTTATTATTTTAAAATTATATTGCCTATTGCCCACTGTTCCATTCTTGGTATGCTGTTTCTCCACAAAAAGAATTAGGAGAGAAGATGCTACTGGTTTCTGACAAAAGAAGGAGGATGGCAGATGGGAGAGGCCACAACTTTTTTTTTTTGAGAGAGAGAGAGAGCGCAAGCAGAGAGAGAGGCGCAGAGGGAGAGGGACAGAGAGAATCTTAAGCAGACTCCACACCCAGCATGGAGCCCAATGTGGGGCTTGATCTCATGACCCTGAGATCACAACCTGAGCTGAAATCAAGAGTCGGATGCTCAACTGACTGAGCCACCCAGGCGCCCAAGAGTCCCCAACTTTTAAATGCAGCTTCTCAAAACTCTGAACTATTTGCTACTAGAAGGGAAGCGGGCAGATTTGGGCAATGCAATCACAGAACTTTTCTTCAACAGTTGACAGCCTAATTATAGTCACCGATCATGCAACATAGTTTTAAAACCAGTTCCACTTTTTCTTTTTATTATTTTATCTTTGTCTAGATAACAGCCCAGACTTATGAAAATATTATAGGCTTTTAGAATCAGATAGAATCAGCCGTAGTTCAAATACTGATTTATGAGTCACACTGTCTGGATTATTTAACCTTTCTCAATGGACATAATGAAACAACCCCAATGTTAATCACGGGAGATTAAGTGAGATGATATTTCATTCTTTCGTCATCAGCACTGGGTGCACTGTATACGCATACAAAAACGCACAGATAGTCACATATGCACACTCCAGTAGGTCCAGACGCACCTGGCTGAGAGCTAACAAGGACAGCTCCCAAGGACATTCACTCCTACACACCAGCTGCTATTCTAAGCACTTTGCCTCTATCAGCTCATTGAAATACAACAGAACTCCAGGGTGGGGACAATTAGTATCTTAACTTTACAGGGGACACAAAAGGAGAAATTGCAGTTTAAAAAGCCTTTAAAGGTGTAAAGAAGAGATGTCTAAGGAATGCATTTGAGATAGCACTGGGGTGCGGTACCCTTGGCTCAATAGAATAAGAGGAGCATGAAGGGCTCACTAACACTTCTTGCTTCTCCCTTATTTCTAACTAATGGTCTTGGCAGAGGCAAAAATATAAAATAAGGCAAAACCCTCATTAGGTTGCTTCAACAGCCAATGCCATCATCATCGTCATCATCATTATCATTATCTATATGCCAATAAAAAGAAATTTAGAATTGCCGGTTCTTTGTTCATGCCCGATACCCTATAAAACCTAAAGCGCAAAATATACAGCACACTCTTTATGTTGACTTTTTACTAAATATTTGCTTTTCTAATTATAAGAGGATCAAAATTATAACCCATGCTTCCTTCAATTTACCTAGCTTTTACTTAGTATTCATACACCTGTAACATCTTGGCAGCCAAGCATTGTAAAGGCTTTAATTTTCCCCAAGCCTGAAATAGGCACGGTAAAATCTATAGCTTTCTCCTACACCTCCTTCTGTATAGAAGGTGTCTTTCTCATTATGGCCTAATTTAGCTGAATTCTACCCCTGGAATTATAATCTATCTCTGCATCATCTTCCCTAACGATAGGTAAACACGGAATAATAAGATGATCAAGAAAAGGCCAACCATCAATTTGGAAAGTGGAGTCTCACTGGGCAGGAACAGACTTTAAATGCCCCCCTGTGGGGCACTCTCTCTAGGTTTTTCTTGGCATTCAGTTCCACCTGGTTTCCTTTCACATTTCTAACATAAAAGTGGGCTCCACCGTATTTTTCCCTTCAGTATGATTATTCCACAAATATTTTAAATGTACTTTAAGTCCAGCAAGTACTTATGAAATCAGCGGGTGTAGGGTCCTTTAAAAATTCTACTTTGGAATTTTTTTTTCAATAGCCATTAAAAATCTAGCAGATAGCTCATGGTATAAAACAGCACTGTATAAATTTTCTAAAAAATAAGCTAGTCTATTTATGATGATTAGAAATCTCAAATTAGGCATGTAAGAGGATATCTAATTTATATTCCTCCTAATGCATTTCCTATAAGGTACATTGTTTTATCCTATGCAAGGGTAATATTCTCTCTTTATTTTGTCTTTCCCTCTCTCTGGCCGTGTCATTAACACTCCTGCCTCAGCACATAACGTGTTTCCTTGTCTGGACCCTAAACTCAACACCCATAAACCTGAATAAACATGAAAGTTGCCTCAGACACCTATTCAAGATACAGACACCAGCATCAAAGGGATATTAAAAACACCTGGCCTTGAAATTGTATTACTTTATACATTTATTGCTGAAATTTCATAAGCAAGTTCTGTTAAACAGAATTTGTGAACCAGGAATGTTTTGTTTATACATGAAGGATGGAAAGCCAGTCTTTATCGGGGAAATTGTAAATCCATTTTATAAGTTAAAACTGGCTGATAGTTATGTATCACTATATGGAACTGTCCATGGTGTAAAAAACATATAGAAAAATCTGAGGATCCTGCAGGATATTGCCACGCATTTTGTGTGTGTGTGTGTGTGTGTGTGTGTGTGTGTGTGTGTGTGTGTGAGGTGTCCTAGCTTATCTCAAGGGAAAGGAAACTTGATGTCTGTGAAATCCATATTTTTAAACCTTGAAGCTGTTGTGGTATCCTCAGAAAACACCACATTTCTTCTTTTCTCAAAACCTGATGCGTATATTTAACTTACGGATTCCCTTGCTTTTCCAAGGAAGGCTCTATTTATCTGCTTATCACTCTCATTCAGTTGTACGAGTTCAGGGCCAGAACAACATGACTACTTGAGGCCAAGAAAGCTAACACAGCAAATCAGGGGTTCATAGAGGAAGGGGATTGGTTGTCGCTGAGATTAGTGCCGTAGGGTCCCAGCCGGGAGAAAGGAACGCACTGGCAAATTCGGGCCAATCGCTCTACTTCCTGGAAATGACTGAGCATAACAGTGACAAACTCATTGTAGTGTCTCTCTGGTTTAGATCAGACTTTTGGCTACCTCTATCACAAATTATATAACAATAAATTATAAGGAAGTTGAAGATATTTATAAGAACTCATTTTGTACAAGGCAAATCCCTCCCATATACCACACAGTGAATGTTCACCCCTCCGAAGGGACTCCCTAAAATATTTAGCCCTGGCTGCATGTTATACATAATGGAACTACAGAACATGTTTCTCTAAAGGAAAGACACCTTAATGAAAACACCCTCTGGGATAATAAGATGAAACTACAATGTTTCTTTCCAAGTCTTCTTATGTGTAGATCATACTATAACACGAAGGAGCAGTCTAAATGGATTAGTAAAGAGAAAATAAAAGCCTACAGTTCCCTACTATTTATACTAAAAGCACTTTGTCCTTAATATAAAAAAAAAAACCCATGTACCCCAGCATTGTGTAATCCATGTGAAATTACAAAAAGTTACAGAGTAATTCATTAGGTAGATATGTGGCTGAATAACTCAAGAGACTGCTCTGATTTTAGTAAGAAATTCATTAGGAGTTCAACAAATCAGACCCAAGAAATGGTGATGGGTAACTATTTTCAAAGTTCTTCCACTATTTAGCTCGAAAAATTAAAGTGCTTCCACTAAAAACCACCGGTCATTTGGTAATAGCTAGAATATTTACAAGTATTCCTTCAGAATTAGAGGGATCTACCTTATTTGACAATGCAGTGCAAAAACACTGATTAATCATCATTTAACTGATAATGCAATGCATATTTTAACATAACTTATTTCTTCTTATTAACTGTCAAAAGAAAATTCTTAGTTTATATTGGAATCCTGTTCTCTAAGAAAGACTAATTATGTTGTGAAAAGTTGCCTAGAGCTCAGCAATTTAATTCTGTAATAATAATGAACTTGGAGAATTAGCTCTACAGCCTTTTGCCTTAGCGAGCAATATTATGATTCAGTTACCTATAGTATGTCAATACTATAAACTGACTCATAATGGAAATTTACTCGTTAAACAGAAATACCTATATTCTAAAATTTCTAAAGAGATTTCCATCATTTACTACCAAGTTTAATTTAAAAAAAAAACTGCATGCTAGCAATTTAAGATAATTTATGATTAAAAAATATTTGTGGATGTTGCTGGAGTGGTGGGGGGTGGGAGGGATGCGGTGGCTGGGTGATGGACATCGGGGAGGGTATGTGCTATGGTGAGTGCCGTGAATTGTGTAAGACTGATGAATCACAGACCTGTACCTCTGAAACAAGTAATACATTATATGTTAATAAATATATATATATATACACATAATATAAAATATTTGTGGGGGCGCCTGAGTGGCTCAGTCAGTTAAGCGGCTGCCTTCGGCTCAGGTCATGATCCCAGGGTCCTGGGATCAGGTCCCACATCGGGCTCCCTGCTCTGCGGAGAGCCTGCTTCTCCCTCTCCCTCTGCCTGCCTCTCTGCCTACTTGTGCTTTCTCTCTATCTCTCTGTCAAATAAATAAAGTCTTAAAAAAAATAAATAAAAAAAATAAAATATTTGTGGATGAGTAACTAAACCCCTTTACCTTATAAATATCCAAAAATCCACACTGGTGGTCAAACCTGGTGTACAGTTCGTTCAGCATGCTGATCACCTGCATGGGGGTGCACTGGGCACAGATGGCTGTGAAGCCAACGATGTCCGAGAAGAGCATGGTGACGTCGTCAAACTTCCTGGCCTGCACCTGCTGTCCTTGCCACAAGAGCTGGGCGACATCACCGGGGAAAATAGAATACAGAAGATCGACTGTCTTCTTTTTTTCTTCTTCCAGGGCCTGGTGAGTTCTTTCCAAAGTTGCCTTCAATTTATCCATTCTCTTTTTCAAGCCGTCCTGGGCCTTCGCCTGCTCACCAACCAGAATGACATCGCGGGTGGCGTCGTGGATCGGGATGTCCGAGAGATGCAGCCCTCGGCCCATGAGCTCGTCCAACTTGTCCACGCACGGAGAGCCCAGGAATAAGATGGCACTCGACTCCGGGACATGGATCATCTGTCCTTTGACTTCCATCACCTGCAAAAGGAACACGAAATTGTAATCCGTGCTCTTCTTCGCGTAGTAGGTTCACAAAAGGGTTAACTCACTATCTGACGAGGAGGAGAAGAAATGTACCAGGAGCTATGCTGAGTTTCCACATCAGTAGAAGCAAATTTCAGTAGGGTTTACCGCCCATGTAAAATTCACCGTTCTGAACGGAAATCTTTGTTACCACGCCCCACTTGGCCACTTTTTAAAGACAATGATGAAACAAAGAGTGAGATCAAGAGAAATGAACCTGGGAAACATGTTTTATTCAAAATGAAATTACACTCAGGCACAGCACGAAACGGGCTCATGAGTCAGTTTAACACCTTTCAGCCTGCTTAATAATAAAATTAGGACAAATCCATCTGTCAAAACAACTATAGTCAACTGTCATTAAAATAACACTCAGGAAAAAAAGTCCAGAAGATTAAAATAAATCAAAATAATTGTTTGGCCTTACGTAAGTCATTTTTCAAGCAGTTTGTAGACCTTTGAACATACAGTAGTTCTTGCACTGACTAGGGAACGATTCACTTAATCTTAAAAATAAAAATGTAAACGAGACGTGATAAGTCAGTATTATCAGGAAGCAACTATCAGTCAACTAGCATGTTCACCATAAGCTGAAAATAAACCCCCAAGTCAGACTAGAACTAAAGGAATTCAGGTAAGAAGATAAAGAATCTGAAGAGGGTCTCTCCTTTCTGTGCTGTTTAACTGGAGAACTTGGGGGACTGATGTTTCGTGTTTTCCCTTAGGGAACAGATTGATGCTATCTCAGCTCGGCGCCCTACGAGGCCCTCCAAGGTAAGGTGCAGCCGCGGGAAAGGAAGTGCACTTAGGATGTGTCTATACAAATACAGTTATCTGGGTCAGAGTAGGGTATCTCAGCACACCTGGAGAGGAGAGTGGGTGGAATGACCTAAAAGGACAGCCTCGGAGCTGACCAGCCAAGACTGCACATCCGTTTAACCTAAGTCATCTTCCACTGCCAAGTGGAATGTGCTCAATAAATTTATTTTCCTCTATTCTTTTTTTCAAAAAAATTTTTTTAAAGATTTTATTTATTTGTCAGAGAGAGAGAGAGAGCGAGAGAGCAGGAGAGCACAAGCAGGGGGAGCGGCAGAGGGAGAAGCAGACTCCCTGCTGAGCAGGGAGCCCAATGCGGGGCTCGATCCCAGGGCTCGATCCCAAAGGCAGGCGCTTAACCGACTGAGCCCCCCAGGCATCCCATTGTCCTTTATTCTTCATAAGCATGAAGTAGTTAGGCTGCTTGATGAAACTAGAGGCATAGAACAAATATGTGGTAAAACTGCACACATTTGGGGTTTTTTTTTTTTTAAGATTTCGTTTATTTATTCATGAGAGAGAGAGAGAGAGAGAGGCAGAGGGAGAAGCAGGCTCCCAAGGAGCAGGGAGCCCAATGCGGGACTCGATCCCAGGACCCTGGGATCATGACCCGAGCCGAAGGCAGACGCTTAACCATCTGAGCCACCCAGGCGCCCCACATTTGAGTTTTGAAGCCTACATCTATCTTGTACTTCGTTCCCCCTTCACCATTCACTGAGATCCAGTACAGGCAAGGAAATAAAATTGAGTCCTTGCTTGATGCTATAATTTTTACGAAATGAAATGTTTGCTTCATCTTATGTGACGTTTCTGCTAGTATTTCCTCCTCTGGTACATAATACTCTCATTTGTTCATTGAAATATTTGTTTTCTCTTCACTCACACTGCTCTGGGTGATAAGCATAAAATGATAAAAGAAGATTCCCCTTCTCTGAGACACCAAAGGATGGTGGTGGGGGCCAGAGAACAGTGTGCAGAAGACACTTCCAGTTCCCACCCCACCCGACCCCCCTGCAAAGTGGACCGCCAAGCCTGCAGACTATGGTCTGACTGCAGACAGAAACCATTGTTCTGAGAAGAATTTCCAGGTTGTGTCCTACCGGCCTAGTATGCTTTTGGGGGGAAGAGTACTGTTAATGATACATACTTTCCCATTGTTGGGATGGTGAAGGTGTCATAAGGAAGACACAAAATGTACAACATCGTAGCTAAAAACTGAGCATATTCAACTTATTCTTAAGATTTAAGGTAAAAGCAAACCTCTGATGCTCAGGGATTTAGACTTGTGTGTGGTCTCTCTCTCTCTCTTTCTCTCCCCCCCCCCGCCTTTTCTAGTTATTCTCTTTTTCTTCGCCATCTAGCTTTCTTCTCCCTTCTGTTCTGGGGACTTACACTTCCTCCCAGCATCCTCTCCCCACTCAGTCTTTGTCTCTTCTGCTGCCTGTCTCCCCCTCCCCCCAGGTACTCCCTCCCCCTTCCCTCCTTTCCTCAATGCCTCTCTTTGCTTCTCCTTCCAAAGTATCAACCTCCACATGTCCCATCACAAATGGACCCTCTTTTCTTCCTTTGCCTCCATCTCTCTCTCTATGTCAAATGTGGAATCAGCCTATGTGTATATGCACTAACAACATTATGTATTATTTGCCATATGTAATAAATAATAGTGTTTTCATTTAACTTACAAAGAAGCTGAGTCGAATATCTAATTTTCCTATCTCAAAAATATAAAACATAAATAGGTTCATGATCTGTATGTGGCCATTAGTTGGTCTAGGTTTTTTTTGTTGTTGTTTTGTTTTGTTTTTTGAAATCTCTGAATCAGCAGAGCCTGAGACAGGAAAAAGTAACTGCTTACCTCCTACACCACAGAATAACAACTCATAAAGAGCCCCAAAGTACACAGGAAATAACTTCCTTTTTTATATTTTTCATCAGTGAATTTTTCCCATATTTAATAAATGGGCAAATGCAACTGGAGCATTTGTGTCTCTATCATAAATCCATTTTTACTTTAATTGGTAGTAACATAAATTATTCCTCCTGATTTGCTTCTGTTCCATTATAATTATAAATTCAGGAATTCACCATGATCCTCACTTGTTCATCTAGCAATGTGCAAAACTATCATAGAAACTATATATTCTCATGCAGAAGAAGATTTGTGGAAAACTGCAATAAATGGAAACATCTGTTTTTACTGCATCTCAAATTATATGAAAATTTAAATGAACGAGCATAATGCCTAAGAAAAACAAACTGTTTTTAAAATCTATCAGAGTTCAAAAACTGGTAAGCATCATAAAAAGGAGTATTTGGGCAAAAGGGTTAAAAGTCATCCTTTTACAAAGTTTGGTGATCAGATTCTATTAAACCAGGTGGGTTATTTTTATTTTTATGCATAGATAGCTCTATAAAAATATTTACCACTATAAATAATAATTAATTGAAAATTGAATATGTCTGGATCATATAATTGTACATTCTTGTATTTCTGCATATCCTGAACATGGACTGACAAACCCATGCTCCCATGGAGACTCAAGTCTCGCCAAGATAATCATTGGTGGCATGGTTATGTACAATGGTTAGCAAAGAGGATTTGTAAAAAGTCCAACTTGGATTTGAATTCCAGCTCTCTTGACACTTACATGGGCAAACTGACTCAGTTACTTATACTTTCAAAGCTTTGGTTTATCTCTAAACTGGAGACGAAATGATAATGATGTTGATGAGGATGTGCACCTAGCTAATTCATCACATCTGCTGAGTGCTTGCCACCAGCTAGGTACTATGCTGACTTAACAGACATGTTGTTATTAAATTTTACTTTACCCTATTACTGTCATTTTTTAGATGAGATTTAGGGAAGAGACTTGTTCAGAATGCACAGGCTAATAAACAGCAGGGTCAGCATTTAAACCCAAGTTGGATGGACTCCAGAGGATGTGCTCCTAACCACTGAAGAAGCAGGATGGGTAAGGGTATTGGGCGGGGGCCAAGGGGGCAGTAATAATTCTACATGCAAACCAATGTGATAGCAAAATACCCTTAATGAGATATCCACAACAGGCAGCAGAAAAGACAGAAGTTGCTGCTCTTGATGCAGATTTAAATAGCTACCTGCATGCCTCTCCCCCTACATCAGTGTAGTGGAAGAGTCACTTCGAGATGTGATTTTGGATATTTCAGATCTTTAGGATATAACTTAAGCAAGCAGAGGCAGAATGATACATCCCTGGTGTCCAGGTGGGCCTTTGTTCTCACAGAGTAACATTCACTTTGAAGAATTAGATCCAGAAGAAAAGAAAAAAAAAACAGAAAGAAACAACACTAGCAGACACATGGGAAGTCTGAGAAACTTGTTTGTCCTCACAGTGCTGAGATTCTCCTGCTCTCGAGGCCCCTCCTGAGGCACCACATGGCTGGAGCCACCAGGAATAAGGATCTCGCCGCCAGAGCCCCGTCAAGAAGTACTCGTTTCCCACATGCTTGGAAAAAACCTCCTCTTTTGCATAAAGGTACCGGGGCACCTCGCCTCTGGGAGCTCATTCTTCCCCCACAAGCAGCATTAACAAGAGCCAGTGGAAGCCCCAGATGCATTAAATGAACCCAACAGATGAAAAGAGCACCATGTAAGCTCTGAAAATTAGTCATTGCAGCCACTGCCCACAGAAGTAGGCCAGGACCCGCATACCAGACCTAAACAGAGCGACCGCTTGTGAAAATAAAAACTGCAACAGGCTCTCCTATCTTCTAACATAACAGCCAAACTGTCCAGGCTGCAACAGGAAGCCACGCATCATAATACGAACCAGGAAAATCACATCCTGAATGAGAAAAGGCAATCAATCCGTGCTAACGCTGAAATGGATCAGATACTGGAATTCTCTGTCAAGAATTTTAAAGAACCCATCATAAAATGTTTCGACAAGCAATTACAAATTCTTTTGAGGAGAACAAAAAACTAGAAAATCTTAGTAAAGCAATAGAAGATATAAAAATAACCAAGTGTTGATCATAGAGCTGAAAAATGCCATGAAAATAGAAAATTGGCTGGGGAGGCTCAAAATGAGAGTAGACATGATGGGACAGAATCAGTGAATTTGAGGATAGTTTGAGAGAACTTAGTCTGAACAGAG